TTGTTAAAATTGTTAAGATATTTTCCTATGTGAATCTTACTTGTAATTTATAAATTTTGAATAATTATCAAATTCCCATACAATTAATTAGTACTAATTGAAATAAAACGGGAAAAAAACAATTACCCTATTATTATTATTGTATATTTTGGGATAAGTTTTTTCGCCCTTTTTTTCCTTTCTTTGTCAAAATAAATTATGAAAACAAAAAACAAAAAAGAAAGAAATGCTTAAAAATCTTTTTTAAAAAAAAAATACATGTATGTATTTTTGCTTATGAACAAGATACCTCATGCATAAAGTGAACTTTTAAACTTTCATTTACTTCACAATCTCATAGTTCTATGCAATTCACTAAAAAATAAAAATAAACTAAAATTGACAGATCACTTGCGCCAATTGTTATTTCGATAAAAATGTGCAACTTACACCTTTTCTAAAATGAATGTTTTTTGTTCGCTTATTGCATTTAATTTTTCTTGTCATCAATCATCACAGTTCTAATTGTTTTGTTTTGTTTTTTACCAGCCAAAGAATTATCATCATATAATTATACCAAGAAAAAAAAAGAAAAAGAAAGAGTGGAGAAAAGTTATTATCAAAAATATTAAATAAAATTAATTTAAAGGAAAGATTAAGGATGAAAAATATTTTTTTGATGAAAAAATTTTCCTTTTTTTTGCTCTCTCTTTTAAAAGATAATTAATAAATTATAGCATTTGTTTGGAATACAAAATTTATAAATGGATAAATTAAAATGAATGGTTTTTTCTCTTTTTTTAAAAATGTTTTTATTTCTTATTAATAATAAATGAATTATATGACAAAAATAAATAAATAAATAAATAAATTTGTTATAGATATAAATCACTGTCATCAATGGATAATAAATTATATGACAAAAAAAATCAAAAAAAAAAAATGAAAAAATTTTGGTAAAAATTTTTTTACTGAAAAAAAAGAGGTATTTTAAACATTTTACTCATCATTTATTATTCATTAATAAGATAATTATTATTGGGATTATCAAAAAAATTAATAATTAAACAATGAATTCTTATTTAATGAAAAAAATGAATAAAGTTGAATAATTAAAGAAAGCATAAAAATAAGAGAAATATTATTGGAAAATTTATTTTAATAAAAATTGAAAATTTATTTTAGCTTCAAATTTTATCATTTTACTGCAAAATGTACATTTATATACTTTGCTTACTCATTACAATTTTCACTCATGCATTTCATCTTATTCCATTCATTATTATCCAATTACTTAACCTATCGTGAAAATATTATTATCATCAAAATAAGCAAATTTGTATAATAAAAAAAGAAAAAAAAAAGAGGGAGAGTGGGATGAGATTTGCAATGAATAATAGCACTAGACTTTTTATTATGATAAGAGAAAAATATAAAATAAAATAAAAAAAATTGTTTTTCGTCATAAAATAAATTGAATTAAATTACATTAAATTTTCGCTTCTTTTGTTCCTTTTTGATTGATATATGAATTTGAATGAAATATAATGGAAATATATGATATATTATATCATTATCATTATTTATATTCCATGATAAGTGTAGGTAACGAGAAAAAAAAAATGTTTTTCCTTTTAATGAAAATAATATTTTTTAACCAAGCAAAAAAAAACTTCTTCTTTCATCTTATATGATATATATATATTTTTGTTATATTCTTATTTTGCAATAAATCTTATTCATTTCTAATTCATTTTTGTATAACATTATTCTTGCATCTTTTATAATTTTCTTGCATATTCTTGCATCTTTTATAAATCTTTTATAATTTTTTTTAATTTTATGATAATTTCATGTATATTTAATAAATAAATAATATCCACCGGTATTATCGTTATAAATGATTATAAGTGATTCTAATATCAACTAATAGCTTCAGTGAAAATATACTCTACGTAATCCCACGGGGAGAAAGGCAAATATCTATGTAATATGTATGTATGTATATGTATGTGTGTATGTGTATATGTGTGTATGTGTATGTATGTGTATGTGTATGTATGTGTGTATGTGTGTGTGTGTATGTGTGTGTGTGTGTGTGTGTGTGTGTGTGTGTGTGTGTGTATGTGTATGTGTATGCGTATGTTTGTGTGATTGCAGTGAAATTGATAGATATGTTATAGGAAAGCTTTTCACTGAAAACTGCTCACATCACTTCGAGCGTTTGCAGTCTGCGTTGCAGCAGTCAGTGTTGAAATCTCATCATCGTTATACACTTCTCACACTAATTTTCATTATTTATTTAAGTTTTCCTGTTCTTTTTAAATATCAAATTTATCATACGAAATAATATATGTATAAAAAAAAGAACCATATATACATGCCAGTTATTATATAAGGTTTTTTTTTTTTTGTAATTTGCATGCAGTTTACATATTGCAATTAAAGCAAAGCATAAATGTTTATAAGTATTGCTTATTTGTAATGCAATCATTCCTTTCATTCATTTTTGTCCTCTTTTTAAACAAACATCTTTTTTCTAACTTTTAAGCTTTTTCTTGTATCTTTTTTTTTTTTTAAAAAAAAAAAAACTATATCTTTCCTCATCTATTTAATCGTTCAAAATTTCAATCCTCTCACCTTTTTAGCACCAAGATTTTTCTTCTTCTCTTTCATTTTTCCTTTTCTTTTCTCCTTCCTCTCTTCCCACCTTCCTCTTTCCTTTTTCCTCTTTCTTCCTTACCTTTTTTTTCCTTTTTTTCCTTCTTTTTCTTTCATCCTTCATCTCAAACATCATGTGTTTTCACAACTTCAGGCAATTATTATGTTTTCACAACTTTCTCCTCCTTCTTCCTCTAATCTTTCTTTTCCTCTTCCATTTCCATTTCTACCAAATATTCACTCATCCTATCAAGCTTATTTCATTTTCATCCGAAATAACCAATTTCATTTAATACTTCATCATGCATACAATATATTCCGTTATCATGTTCTTTATTTTTGTTTTTCCACTTTTTCATTTTGTATTTTTTCTGTCCTTTTTTTTGTCATCTCTTAGAAACAAATATATATAGATTGTATAGAAGAAAAAAAGAACTGTAAATTCTCGATTAAAATTTCCCAAAAAAAAATTTGGCATTTTGACTCATAAACAAATAGCGTCATATATACATTATATGTATGACCTATTTATTTATTTTTTTTTCCAAACCAAACATTATCGTTTATTTAGTTTTTTGTTTTTATTTAGTTTCATGTTTTAAATTGGCGCCTGTCATTTAGTAATGAAACCAATAAATTTGGAACAGTTTGGGCTGATGATTGTATGCAACCAGTGCAAATGAATTTATTTATTGATAAAAATGTTACGCTGGGACGTAAATGACTGACTGATGAGAAGGAAAGAAGAAGGAAAAGAGATGAGTGAAAATGATGAAAGATGATGACTAATGTAAATTTGTTGTCAATTTTATGGCCTTAAGTTTTACTAGTGTTATTTATTCACGAAATGTTAGTGTTAATCACACAAATGCATTATTGGTATCTTTTAGGTTTTTCTTTTTTTTTTTTTTAAATCCTTTTATGAATGATTTTTTCATTTTTCTCTCAAAATTCTTTACTAACTCTGCATTTTATTGTATTATTTTCATGCTTTTCTTTTAATCCTTTCCCATATTTGTCTCACTTTTACAAAATTATTTTTATTCTCACTTTTCATTGTAAGATTTTCAATCGGAATTATGAATTAGAAAATTTTTAATGATTATTTTTTGAAGGAATTCATTGTATTCGTTACTTGTTTTATTGTCTTTATATTTCAATAATTAATAGCGGACCGTAAATATTAAGCTTTTGTAATTTGATCTTAATTTTATCATATGAATATCCGTAATTTTCGGAATAGCTATAAACATAGGCAATACTTTTGCAATATGATTAAAATTTAGAAGGATGAATCTTCCAAGGTAACATTTATTGTCATATTAGTATTTATGTAGGCACATTGAGGATTTTTTCACGGGAAAATGTTGAAAGACGAGAACAATCGAAGCGTTATGTTTTAAAATTTCCAGTAAAAGAAAAAAAAATTTCCGACTTATGTTTCGTGTAACGTGATATTTCTTTTATTTTTAGTCAAAAGTTAATTTTTAATAATATGCTGCTAGTTTTATTCAAATAGCATCGATTCACATATATTAATGTAATTTGCTTGAAATACTACCTGAGTAAAACTTTCATGTGGTTAGTATCGTTATCGTTTGCCTCATTTATTCGTGTTATACGATTCCTGAACAAGTGTAATATTTGCAGAGCTGGACGGCATAATCGAAATTCAATCGAAATTGGCACAGGAAAGTTGGTACAGGTGTGCGAGGTGTCTTCCATCTTAGTAGAAGGTAAAACATTCTTGAATTATGTAAGAATGATGGTTTTATTTGCTATACATATATATATATATATATATATATATATATATGTGATTATTTTATTTTATTCTTTAGTTTGAAAAATTTTTTCCTATCAGCAAAGGGATAAAACATTTGACAGTATGAGTTATTTTTCATATTCATTAATGTATTTAATTTAGAGGGGTCATCTAAGGAAATGGAATATGTATGATATTAAATATATCAGCAAATTTAATATTTTTCTTTTTCGTAAATAGTTGATTTTCTTTATAGGTTACCTTATTCCTTTGGTATTTTATTCATGAAATCAGATTAAGCATGAAAAAAAAAAGCTTCTCCATATAAGTCACCGTAATCCCTCATAGTTTCAGTTTTGGATTTTGGAAGCAGAAAAAAATTTCGGAATTAAAAAAAATTTTATATATATATATATTTTTTTTTGCTCGTTATTTAGCATTAAGTATGTTTAAAGAGAGAAGAAAGGATGAGAAAAGAAGAACACAAAATAAGCTTTACATCAAATGAATGAATGGAGAGATATTGGAAGATTTTGGATTTGCTATTTCGAGAAATTTTAATCCTGATGTTAGTTTGCTACAGGGAGGTGTAACCATGGGCAGCCGCGGGGAATACGGCTGCTCCGTGGACGAGCTGCGGACTTTGATGGAATATCGTGGGGCAGAAGCTCGAGAAAAATTAGATGCTGAATATGATGGTGTTGAAGGTTTATGTAGGAGGTTGAAAACTGATCCAAATAATGGGCTGCCTCAGGATAAGGATGAACTTGATAGGAGGCGAGCAGTATTTGGTGCGAACGAAATACCGCCACATCCACCGAAATCGTTTCTGCAGCTTGTTTGGGAAGCGCTTCAGGTGATTTTTTTTAAATTTTTATATTGTTCCTGGAAATTTATCACAATCAATTTTTTCTGTTAATGTAAAAATATGGATGTTTTATTAATTTTTTTTTCTTGAAATAATAAGCATTCCTAATTTTTTAAACTTTTTCTATTAATGTTTGCATTTTAGGATGTAACGTTGATTATTCTTCTTGTAAGCGCCATAGTATCTCTTGCGTTATCATTTTATCGGCCACCCGATGATGGTTTAGGAGGTAAGTTTTCATGAAAGTTTTTTGTTTTTATACCCTAATTATATTAAAATGATAATATTTAAATGATAATATGTATGATATTTATATTAAATGATAATATGTATGATATTTATAATAATATGTATATAATATTTTCAGCAGGTTCTGATGATTCGGAGCATGAAGCTGGTTGGATTGAAGGAGTTGCAATTTTAATTTCAGTTGTAGTTGTGGTCCTTGTAACAGCTCTCAATGATTATACTAAAGAGCGTCAATTTAGAGGTATATTGTATATGAAATTTTTATTCTTTCTTATCATATCCGTATTATGGATGAATATTTTTGCATATGGCTCATTAAAATATTATTTTCTCAGATTAAAATTAAGCATTTTTATTTTGTTTACTGCAGCGATTTTGATCTAGGCTTTCAATTTAGAATTTATAATTTCAGGCCTCCAAGCGAAAATAGAAACTGAGCATAAATTTGCTGTCATTCGTGGTGGGAATCAAATACAAATTGTCGTTAATGAATTAGTTGTCGGTGATATCGCTCAAATTAAATATGGTAATATTCCACTTAAATATGTGGATTTCATGTAGTGAAAATTTCAAGAATAAAGTTGACATTTTCATGTTGTTTTAAATAAATATGATCACTAAAATGGACGAATGTTGGCATGTGATTCAACACAGATATTTTAAATGAAAAAAGTTTATGTATTATTCAGCTATCTTTTTGTTTAGCTTTTTATTTATTTAATTCCAAGGTACTTTCAGATTTGCAGTATATCTTCAGATATGGTTAGATAAACGCGATCAAGCAGATGATTTTTTTCTTCTTTCTTAGTACGAAACAATAATTATTTTGTTATTTGAGGCGATTTACTTCCTGCTGATGGTATCCTTGTACAAAGTAACGATCTAAAGATTGACGAGTCCTCATTAACGGGTGAATCCGACCAGATTCGTAAAAGTCCTGAATTGGACCCAATGCTTCTATCTGGTACAACTTTTACTGATCACTTTTTATCTGTTATGATTGCTTGCTTTGTATCTTATTGTTGTCAGTATTTCTGGCACCTTTAGCAAAGATCTATCGTGAATATTTTTATTTATCTTGTTAAACTATCCAATATTAGGTAAATGTTAATGAATCAGCAGAAAGTAAAATTTTAATAAACAAACAGATAGCACTTAGCAAAAGGTATGCATTATTTCATTCTTCATATGTTTAAACAGGTACTCATGTGATGGAAGGTAGTGGAAAAATGGTTGTTACGGCAGTGGGTGTCAACTCGCAGACAGGAATTATTATGACTCTTCTTGGTGCAGCTAAAGATGTCGTAGAAGAAGAACGTAAAGCTGCGAAACGTGAAGGCAAGTAATTTTGTTAATAAAGTAGCGAAAAATATATATATAGCAAAAATTAATCGTTTTAGTGCTAGAAACAACAATTAGAAGGGAATCAGTATGCATGTTAGCGCTATATTTTATTTTAATCTTAGCTTAGCTATTAGCTTATTTCATCACTGGTGCCAATCGGTATCGAATATTGTGGTAAGACAATTGATACCGTTAATTACCGGTTTTCTTATGCTTTCGCGATAGATAACTATCTCATTAGTATTGCTCATTCTTCATTTTCCCTTGCTCTCTTTGCCATTATCAGTTGAAGCTTGTTTCCTTGCATTTCAAGTGAACATCATTATTATTGTTATTGTTATTGTTATTATTATTATTATTATTATTATTATTATTATTATTACTATTATTATTATTAGAACTATACATTCCTACTAATTAGTCATAACAGTTATAATCAATAATTAATTGGATATATAGCAAAAATGAGAGTTTTTTTTTTATTTTGAAAAAAAAAATACTCTCATTTTTGTTCTAACTCATACTAATTTTACACACTGCACACAAAATTAGAATAGTAATATCTCGATTACGATTTTATCTAATATTATTCTTCAGAGCGTCGGGCGCGTCGAAAGAGCAAAGCGTCTGGTAAGACTTCAGTATCGATAATTCTTTTCAAAATGAAGCATTAGTACTAAACCATTAAGCATGCTGTTGTTTTTCCTTATTGGCATTGTACAAAACTTGCTGAAAGGATGTAGCAGAAAAAAAAAATAGTACTTCAGATTTATAGTATGTATTTTCTTCTAAAGTTTCAGATTTGCTTATGCATATGTATGTGCAACATACATTCCTTTATAAATTATGTCTATATTCATTCTTCCATAATTTCAAAATTGTTTGAGAATAAGCACAGCAAATAGGATGAAATGCACTGTAGTTGAGCATTTTTTATTTAGGAAATTAAACATTATGTTTTGTTCCCGAAGATTTGATTAGTGAATAAAACAGCAGATGACGTAGTCCTATTTTGGCTTGGCATTAAGGCAATTTTTCCGATTGCCTTGTAAAAATAAATATCACTTACATTGGTATGGAAAATGTTCCCAATTTAGTTAGTAACAAGCGCATTGTGGAACTCATTCAACTTCATCTATTTTGGATGATACATTTCATTTGTTCAATAAATAACTTTTTTGACAAATATAAAGAAGAAAAAGAGTACTAGCTGTATAGGAAGTTTTATGCACCACTCACACTTTTTTGAGACTAACCATAAATATTTCTGTATAATATCGCTAACAATATCACCTCATTAATCGCTCTCCTATTTATCACATTAAAAAAAAAGGAAACATGAAAAAAAAAAAATGAAAAATAAAATAGGCTTTTTGACAGAAATATCAACAATAAGCAAAATTAAATAGAATTGTTTACTAAATCATATATGGAACTTTTTTAAAAAAAAAAAAAAAAAAAAAAAAAACTTATATAATATATATAGCCTTATCTGGCATGCAGTGCTCTATCATTGTGCTACCGCATTGAGCGATCGGATACATAAAATGTTAATGATGATTCATTTAATATCACGTGCCAGAAGCAATATTTTAGCAAGTTTGGAATGAAATGTCTGTATGAAATTTACATAGTTTTGTATCAGTTTTTGTTACTCTTCTCCTTACTTTCTTTTCTTTTTACTTTTCTTTTCTTTTTTAGACTTTAAAGTTTTTCATAAATTTCTAAAAGATTAAGCTAGATATAATTTTGAGGAAAGTCATATTAACAGAAGGCTTAAGAGGCTTCTTTTTTTTCGATTTTCTAAACGCTTCCTATTACCATTCCAGGAAATTGTTGGACTTTTAGTTTTTCCTTTCTTTTTTGCACTTATCTTTAAAAATTTCTCATCGAACACAAAATATGCAAGCACGAATTCACAGATAAACGTACATATACGCTGGTACGCATGCTTACTATTCTAATTTCATCAACTTTCTTATCCGTAATTTGAATAATTTAGATTTTCTTGAATAGTTTCAATCTCTTTTTTGGTTTTTTTCATTTTTATTTTTGCACATGAAGGTAAATGTTTGCTTACATTGTCTTTTTTTTTTAATTTCACTTTTTTTTGGCATGAGTAGAAAAGTGGTAGGAAAATTTTGTTTCAGTTAAATATCCAGAACTATTGCGGTGAGAAGAAAAGGCGAATGGAAAAATGCCATTTTAGTATTGTTTGCTTACGCAAGCTTTTTCCTCCATTACTATTTGTTAATCTTTTTGCGTAGTAGTGTTTGAAATTTCAGGCGATGCTATAGCAAGTGCAGGAGTTGAAGATGGAACTGCTCAAGCTCTTCTAACTGATCGTGAGTTTAGAAATGCTTTTTTTTTTTGTTTTTTGTTTTTTGTTTTTTTAAATCATGCGCCGAACTGTAGGAGTCAAAAATGATTACATCATAATGCTATTTGTTGCAATCGCTGGAATTAATATTAGGTTGTGTAGTGCGATTATTGAAATTGATAATAGTATAAGTAAATTTAAGGGACTTTTTTAAAATGATGTATGCTTTACTTTATTTTTTTGTGAGTTTCATTTTTTTTAAAAAAAAAAATCAGCATTTAGTTCAACTAATATAGTTAATTCTGTAGTTGAACAAGCTTATACTACCAATATTATATGTTGAATCATTTCTCATACATATCTTTTTATCACATGCAATCATTTTAATCATCATTTTTGTATTAAGATTATATGTTATGATATAACTCAAGTAGTAATACAATTTGATCAATGTATTATGAAAATACATTAGTTTCTCTTCTGTAATCTCTCCGTCAGTAATTTATGTTTTAATTATTTGAAATCCTTAACTTTAAGAAAGGAAAAAAAATCACATGGCGAAGAAAATTGAACTCTTTCCAAGTTATTCCATAGGATTAATTTTAATGCCTTTCTTTTCCTTTTTTGATCATCGATCAGTAATCGAAATAACGCGAGCAAAAACGCATGAACGCAAATGTTTTAGTGTACGCCTCCATTATTCAGCTTTTTTTGTTGCATATATATATATATATATATTTTTTTAATTTATAAATTAGAATTGAATTTTGCGAAAAAGATACGTTAACGAATGTCGGTGGTTGTTTTGCATGAAATCACTTTTTTTTTGTGTGTCTCTGCACATTATTACTGATATATTTATTTCTTAAATTTGATATAATTTTTGATAATACACAAGCGGCAGCTAACATTATTTGACGAATTTTTCGTGGAATCATACGCAGATTGATTCGTTTACTGGAACGCATTTTAGCTCAGATAAAATTGGACGGAAAGTTTTTTTATTTTGGAAATAAGAGCTGAATCACCTGTTGTTATAAATTATAATTAGAAGTATAACTGATTGGCGTATCCAGTCTAGAATTATTTTTGACAGAGATTTTTATACTTCATTGCTCAAATCTTTACCCTGAACTTCTAAGTCAGTGAGGATAGCTTTTGCGGCTTATTCAAGAAAGGAAATAATTAAAACAATGAAGTAAAAAAAGCAAAGAAGAAGACATATTTTACCATCATTTGACATCCACTTGATTTACAGTTTTCAGTGTTCGCATGCTAAAGTCAAAGTAGGACAAGGAATTATTAGTGCTATGTCTTTTTATCCTCTTTTCTGACTAAAAATTGTGCATTTTTGTCTGATATTATCTTTTTACTTAGGTTTAGTTAATGTTAGTAAGGCTAAATGCTATAATTGATTTTTCTTTTTTTTTTTTTTTTTTTTCAAAATATAAAATATCATTTTCAGATGTGAAGGCGACCGGTTTAGCAGAAGGAAGTAATGGTGATTTGAGTAATGAAGCTACAAAAGATGAAGTTGAAAGCAAAAAAGAACGTTCTGTTTTACAAGCTAAACTTACTCGTCTTGCCATTCAGATCGGTTATGCAGGTGTGCTTTTGTCAGTTTTATTCATAATTTATACAAAACAAACAAAAAAAGGGAAAGAAAAAGTTAAGTAAAACATTTGAAAATATAAGCTAATGCTTATATGGTTTTTTGTGTAACAAATTTTCACTTAATTTTCAGGATCATTTGTGGCTGGCTGTACTGTTCTCATTCTTGTTACACGATTTTGCATTAGTCGTTACATGATTGAAGAGAAAGCATTTAGTGTGGGAGACTTTCAGCACTTTATTAATTTCTTGATTATTGGTGTAACTGTCCTTGTTGTTGCCGTTCCGGAAGGCCTTCCTCTTGCTGTCACTCTTTCTCTTGCATATTCTGTCAAAAAGGTAATATTTATTGCAATATTTGATAGTTGTTGCTTGAATTAAAATGCAGCTCACTGCAACCATTAAATTATTCAAAATCGTCTGTAAAATACTGAATATAAATCAAGCAGTTTAGCATTAATTTTCATTTCAGATGATGTTGGATAATAATCTTGTTCGACATTTGGATGCTTGTGAAACAATGGGTAATGCAACAAGCATATGTTCAGACAAGACGGGAACTTTAACAACTAATCGAATGACTGTTGTACAAAGTTACATCAACGGTAAATTTTGCTTAAATGGTTCAATCAAATTAGAATATTTGGAATCATAAGCTAGGATCACTGAGATTATCATACTGTTCATATACTGCTGCAGTTACTTTGGTGCTTCTTTTTTTTCATTAGTGTTAGGATGTTTCTATTTAATGATATAGTTATTGCAAATTAATACAACATGATAGTCCCTTGTTAAATTTTAAATTTACTGGACCGTATCCCACCTGTTTTCAGTAAACAAAATTTGAGATGCAAAATGAAAAATTGAGTTTAAATTGTTGGTAGCTCCTCAAATTTATGAATAAGAAATCATTATTTCAGAAATTCATTATAAGGAAACACCAAAGTTCGAGTCACTGAATAAGGAAACAAGTGATTTATTAATAAATTTAATATCGATCAACAGTAGTTATGCATCGCAGGTATTTCTTGTTTAATACAAGCTTATTATTATTTCTTACCCGTTTTTTTCTTTTTAGTCATCAGTTAAGAATATCCAGCAGAAAATTTTCTCGTCCTGTTTTCCTATGTTTAATAATTAAGCTAACAGATAATCAGTTACATTATGTTTTATTTTTAAATTTGCTGTATTCCAGGTTATGCCTGCTAAAAATCCTGGTGAACAACTCACACAGTTAGGTAATAAAACTGAATGCGGGCTTCTGGGATTTGTCCTTGCATTAGGACAAAGTTATCAAGCAATCCGAGATAAATATCCCGAAGAAAAGATTTTCAAAGTATGTTATGAATAGCGTTGACACAGTTTGTTACGTTTAATTATCTAAATAGAAATATTTTTCTTCACATTTATGAAATTTTCCTCCATGTGTGGGCAATTTAACAAAGTCTTCTTTTTGGAAGTTATAAGCTGGAAGTTATAAGCTTTTTTTTGAAAGTGATAAGAACTTCAGCAAATTTTGTTATTTGCTTTCTGGTAGATTTACTAGTGTCTTTATTGAAGATATACTCCATATTGGTTTCAAATTCATGCTCTTTACAGGTTTATACATTCAATTCTGTTCGTAAATCAATGTCTACTGTTATCGAATTGAAAGATGGCAACCTTTTCGCCGGTTACAGGGTATTCAGTAAAGGAGCATCTGAAATTATTTTGAAGAAGTTTGTTGTAATTTATTAATTGCGACAAAAAGCATTCATTCATATTAATTAAAGTGAAGGTCAAAGAATTTATTGGTGAAATCTCTTTATTTTTGAACTTGTAGATTAATTGTTAACTGATGTTTTGACTAGTGATTGTTTTTTGCTTAGCGCCAAGAAGGTAGAATTGATGCTAACCTCTTATAGTATCTTTGATATAATCTTCGATATCGAATGTTTTCATCATGATGATTGACTGTATTACAAATCGGGTAACTTCCAGTCGAGTGATGATTATTTCGGTGCAGTTTTTGAAGGCTAATGAGAAAACAGAAATTAGCTGAAATGTTGAAAAAAGCCGTGTAGAAGTAGCTTTTAATGTCTTTTCTTACATGTGATATTTCCAGATGATGCCGTAGGGAAATAACTAATTATCATTAGCAGAAACAGTTACATCTTGATAAAGGATTATTTTTTAATGAAACTGATTTTTCTAGATGTAAATGGTTTCTGGCTAAAGATGGTCTTCCGAAAAAATTTTCACAGAAAGATTGTGATCGTCTTGTCAGTAATGTTATTGAACCTATGGCTTCAGATGGCTTACGTACCATATGCCTCGCATATAAAGATTATGTTACAAGAAGTGATAATGTACAAGAAAATCAGGTACACATTGTTATTTTGCATACTTGATATCAAATTTATCTGAGGAAGATCAAAAGGTTTATTTCGAATTTTGATATATCTTTAATTTTAATTTATGTGGTTCATTCAGTAATAATTTCAGATTCGAGCTACAAAAGAAATTGACTGGGACAATGAAGATGCTGTCGTCAATGATTTAACTGCCATAGCTATTGTAGGAATTCAAGATCCAGTCAGACCAGGTTTGCGTCCTATTTAAACATGGATTCTCTGTATTATGTGTACTTTTATGAGGAAGTGCACTTTTGTGAGAAGTTAGTTGGCTAAAAAATCTGAAATCTATCTTACGAATTCTTCATTACAAATTTTGTCAGTGATACTTGCATTTGTTATTTATATTGTAGAAGTACCGGAAGCAATTGCGAAATGTCAACGTGCTGGCATAACTGTACGTATGGTGACAGGCGATAACATCAATACTGCTCGATCAATCGCTACAAGCTGTGGAATTTTACGCCCTGGTGAAGATTTCATCGCTTTGGAAGGCAAAGATTTCAATGCACGAATCCGAAATGAAAAAGGAGAAGTATCACAAGAGAAATTAGACACAATATGGCCTAAATTACGTGTCCTTGCTCGAGCACAACCATCCGACAAATATACACTCGTTAAGGGTATTATTGATAGTCGCATCACAGATAATAGGTAATTTGTGTTAGATTTACATATAAAAATCACATTGACTGACCATGATTTGAAATTCATAAAAATAATTTATAGAGAAGTGGTAGCTGTAACAGGAGATGGTACCAATGATGGGCCAGCATTGAAAAAAGCCGATGTTGGTTTTGCCATGGGCATCGCTGGTACAGATGTCGCAAAGGAAGCATCGGATATCATTTTGACAGATGATAACTTCACTTCTATTGTCAAGGTATGTGTACTAACAATGGTATAGTTTAGCTTTTAGTGCATTTTTTCTTTCATTTTTTGTGTATTTTGTTTAAAAATAAACATTTGATTTTCAAACCTCTTCAGAATATTAAAGAAATGATTAGACTAAAATTTTTTGATTTTATTTCAAGGTTTTTCTTTGACTCTTACAATAAGAGTAATATTATTATGATAATCTATTTATGATATATTGTAATCTATTTACCAGAGCATACTTCAGAAATCCTCTTTGTGTTGTAGTAATGATTGAATTCTTTGAGAGATTTACCAATTAAGGTATTGAATTAAATGTTAGAGGTTATTAGCATAAGTTTTCTTCAGAATAATTATATCCAATTGTACATGACACTGAATTACGTCACCATAAATATGAGTGTAGCATTTTGATACAGTGAAGAATTAAGGGGGCTTTAGCAAATGTCACCTACTGTCAGAAAAAAAAAGGTGGTCAGAAAAGTTTAATTAAAGTCACATTTAATAGATATTGACTTTTGATTATGATCCAATATTTTTAAAACGAAAGAGTTTTGGTGTATGATAAAAAAATTTCAGGCAGTTATGTGGGGACGGAATGTTTACGATTCAATAGCGAAATTTTTGCAGTTCCAGCTTACAGTGAACGTGGTTGCCGTTGTTGTTGCATTTGTCGGTGCATGTGCTATTCAGGATACTCCATTAAAAGTTCATGTTTTAATTTTTTGCATATGGTAGTTTATCTTCATATATTTTTTCTCATACATATAACAATTTAATGCTAAGATGTTTACATGCAAGTATTCATGGTCTTTTTTAGGCAGTACAAATGCTTTGGGTAAATCTTATCATGGATACTCTGGCATCATTAGCTTTAGCTACCGAAATGCCAACGGAAGATCTGTTAAAACGAAAGCCGTACGGACGCACTAGTCCCCTCATATCTCGTACAATGAGCAAAAACATCTTAGGCCATGCATTCTATCAGCTGCTCATCTTGTTTGCCCTCATTTTTGCAGGTAATAATAATCTGAAATCATTGTCGCCAAATTTTTATTAAAATAAGGAAAAAAAACATTTTCTTATTCATTTAGTTAAGTTGACTTTTTCTATCCTTTTTGGAAAATTTATTAGTGTTCTTTATCCGAATTGATGATAGAGGAGGAGAGGAAAGGAAAAACTTTGAATGACAGATGAAGATGAATTTCTTTGTCTTGTAAATTCATGCTTCTCTTAATATTACCTTTCAGGAGAACGTTTTTTCGAAATTGAGAGTGGCAGGTGGGCAGCGTTACACTCACCTCCGTCCGAACATTTTACTATTGTTTTCAATACCTTTGTTATGATGACACTTTTCAACGAAATCAATGCACGGAAAATTCATGGCGAGAGGAATATTTTCACAGTTCATATTTTGCCAAATTTTTTTATCAAATTAAAAATGAACAACTTTATCTCAAATCCTTCCTTAATCAAATCGTCCTCTAATAAAATTTCCGTCTGCTTTATGATCTCAGAGTAAGAAGAAATTTTTATATGTTAGAAACATCATTTATCAAACTGTTACTACTCTAGTTAGCTTGCATAATTAAATTTTATTACACCGTATAGTGCTATTCTGACGTTTAATGGATTGATATAAGCTATGAAATGGGTCATGAATGAACACAACGAACAAAATTAGCTATGCTTTACCTATGGTAAATTCCTGTCTGTAAATCATGCGTGAGATTACTAGTTGGTTATTTTGTTGCGATTTTTATTTTTTTATTTTTCTTAAGGATTTTGTTTATTGCAGGGTTTATTTTCGAATCCTATCTATTATGTTATTTGGATTGCTACAATGATTGCACAAATATTTATTGTGCAATTTGGTGGACGTTGGTTTTCAACAGCTGCATTAAATTTAGAACAATGGTTATGGTGTTTAGCATTTGGCGTTGGTGTACTGTTATGGGGCCAAGTAATTTCCCTTTTTCAATATTGATTTATATTCTAGTGATTCTTGATGTTGCATTTCTCTATAACACTTTTTAGAATTAAACGGGAAAATGACATTACTCTTAAAAATAGTAGTTGTTCGTACCGGATATTACCGGTTATCAACAATCTGAAGTATATTTATTATATTTTAACGGAAGGAGATATTAGGAGAGAGGCATTTCGTGAATATTTAATGTAAGCATTAATCGAAATAGACAAAGAAGGAAAACAAACGTAAGTGAAGAGGTAGGAAAAAGTAACAAAGTAGATGTAACTTGTGAGAAAATTGAAATGATTATTTAATTCTGTTTGTCGTAATGTTAAAATGTTGATATTTTTTCTATATCATTTATTCTGTTAAAGTTTGAAATTTCATAAGATTTAGGTGGTGACAACAATACCCACGTCTGGCTTGCCAAAGAATATGGCAATAGGTGGTGGTGATGTGACATCAACTGAAAATATCCTAAGCGGCGAATATGAAGACTCAGCAACACACGAGAAACGCTCTGGGCAAATTCTGTGGATCAGAGGATTGACACGACTTCAAACGCAGGTAATTTTATTTGGCCTGGAAATTCAGCTAATATTTGGTGGGGTTTACTTGTGTAGGTTTTTTCATATATTTGTGTGTACGTTTTTCTTTTTTTTTTTGAGATTTGTTAGCAACAAAGGGAGTTGCTATAAATCAAGAAAAAACTACAAATAATTACATAATTGTTCATGATAACTTTTTTCCTCATCCTCAGAGACTGCGAGAACTTTTCATATCTATTTATTTTTGTACTTATTTTTTAATACCTCATAACTGCTTTGGTTAGAAAGATTTTTTCCGGATTTTCTTCCGGATTACTGTTGAATTGGAGCGAAAAACAGTTGTATTCGGGAGTATTATATCGAAATGAGTCGATTAGTGTTGTCCTTATCAGTTGTTTTTTTTTTTTTTTTTTTTTTTTTTTTTTTTTGCTGAATTTTGTGGACTGATCACACTATGATGGTACAACATCACTAAACATTTAAGCTAATATACATGTTGTTGTTGTTTTTTACAAGTGTAGACATTTTTTTTTAATGCAAAGTTTATACTAGTGTATTGTTCGGTCTTTTTTCTGCTTGTTAAAAATGTTTTTTTTTTTCTTCAACTTTTTTTTTTTTTTTTTTTTTTTTTGATAGTTACAGGGGTATTTCTGTTGTTTTTATTACTTGAGAATAGCACACTAAAAAAAGTAATTTTTCAAATAGTCGATGTGATAATGCAGCAGATCAAATGAAGTTTTGTTTTCTTTTTTTCTTGTGGATAATTTGATGCTTGGTTAGGAGATAAGATTGATAGTGTATTTACAGTTAAAGGTAGAATATAATCATTTTTTGTCATTGCAACAATAATATATTATTATTCCAGTCCTAATCACTGTTTAAAATATAATTCTTCACTGGATAATACGAAGGTAATATGAAGTAAGTTAATAATATACATTATATACAAATGAATGAGTTAATAAAACAAAAAATGTTTTGATTTTTTTTTTTTCTAGTCCTATAAGCTCTGTAAACTGTTAGCACAATAAGTGCATTGGTTACATCATCGGATGAAATGCTATACTATTGTCGTTCTCATTTATGATAGTTGAAATGCTACTCTTAACTGACCAAATAGTATTCAAAGAAGGGTACTGACTAAATTCATGGGAAGATAGCGTACATACCTTCCCTAATGGGTAAATCATTGATGAAGACTAGTCGAAAATAGATCTCAAATAATTATCATACTTTAGAATAATTAAAGCAAATATTAATTAGAAATCCTTTGCTCTATTTTTCACCTTATTACGATGGTATTATTTTTGTTTTTATATTATCTGTTTATAGATAGATTTAGCAAAAACTGCTAACAAATTTAACAGCTTCTTTTGCAAGTTTTATCTTTTTTATTACACATTTTCATTCAGTAATATCTTGAAATTACTATTGATTTTCGTTACCATTAAAATAATTCAATTGCAAAGAGGGACTTTTTTTCCTTAATTGTTTAAAATATAGTTTTTCATTCAGTGATAAAATCTATATTCAATGGTTTTTGTTTTTGTTTTTTTTTTTTTTTTTAATTTCAATATTATTTATAAAATATTGTTAAATGCTTGGAAAAATCGTTTTCACTTAGATATAAATGTTTAAACGTTAGAACACCGAATTAGTTGTGAAAAAATAGGACAAGATTTAGCTACATTTTTTAATTTAAATAAATTCCTGTTAAACGAAGGAAAAATACGTACACTTTTTTTTTTTCTTTTGGTCATCGATTTTTGAATGCTTTATGTCACAAAATTTATGTTTTTTTTTATGTTCTTTTTATCTCATTAATACATGTCGACAACATTAATTCAGTTAAAATTAATGAATACTTTAAATGCTTTTTCTACTTCATTGAATAGGATCTTAAATTGATTTCATTACTTATCATATATTGTTATTAATTCCTTGTTTACCTAATATTTGATTTCTATTCCCCAAAAAGATTTTATTATTATCACAATTAATCATTCTTTTATCTGACTGAAGCATATGCGTTATTTACCTGAATCACTTTTTGTTTTACTTTGTTTACTTCATTGCATTCTATTTCACTCTAGCTTTTTTCTTTTTCTCACATTATATTCTACAGGTACAACAACAACAAAAAAAAAAAAAAAAAAATGATTAACTAACTATGGGAATGCGTCAGAATGAATCTCTAGGAAATCTGAACATTTCAAAGTTCGATATTTTTTATCAATTATATCTTTCAGTTTGCTGCATTCCACATCGACAAATTGTTTGTGTGTGTAGTATGTGTCTGTATGTGTTTATCATTATTTTTATCAGTCTATTTTAATAAAACATTTGTCTTATGATTGTAATTTAAAAAGTTTTTTTTTTAATTTTATTTTTTTGTATTGAATGTTAGATGTTATTGATAAGAGATTTTATAGTTTTGTCCAGAAAACGTTTATAAATCGTTTCTTCATAAGAGGACAATTGGTGTGTCTGTTTTCTAAGAGCATGCTTTAAAAAAAATAAAAATAAAATTAAAATATAAAAATTTAGAAAATTCTTGGTTGGATATATATTTTGTCTTTCTTAATTTTTGTGTGTTTTTTTTATTTTTTACTACACTGTCAATACTCCTTCAATACTGCTACTCTTTCTGCATGTTTATTTTAAAGCATTCTGCTTTTCTTTTTTTCTAATGATTTTCTAATTCAAGATGCTAATTATTATGCTTTAATTTTTCAACTTTCAATCTTGAATGGCTTGTTATTTTGGATAAAAAATTTAAAAAGTTATAGTTAGGAATATTATTTGTTTTAAAAATTTTTTTGATAATAAGATGAATTGGATGACATTTAGTGTGAAATGTTTGCTGTGCACCTTTTATAACATATACTAATTTATTGCATGATTATTTTATCCTTGAATATGATTACATGAAATGCTGTTTCAGATATTATTGATAATATGCATTGCTATCTAACCAGCTATCAACTGAATTGATAGTAGAGAATATTAGTAGGTGTTAAATAATTATTGATAACACAAGAGTACAAATAGTTTTTTTGTTTTATTATACTTATCTATCAGAAATGAAATGCTTCAAATCAGTAAGCCATTGATCAATGACAACTCTTTTTCTTGTATGTAAATTATTTGGGAAGGTTCAGTCTCCTAATAATATCTTATCATCATTGCTTATTATCATTTTAGTCATAATAAAAGAAGTGATTTCTGATGAATTTAGTTAAATTTAGCTATTTATCATATCATATCATATATATATATATATATATATTTCAAAGCAAAAACATTTAACATATATATATATATACATATGTTTGTCTTTTTTTCTTTATTGATATTTAAATTAGATCATAAACCTTTTATCGATTTTAATTTCCATTCCAACTTTTTCTTCTATTTAAAATGTTTTTGCTTTGAAATTATGACCAAAATTCGTGTATTGATTGCTTGTTCAGCTTTTTCATGAGTAGAAAATTTGACAGTTCTGAAGTTTATGCATTTATGGCGGTATTCCGAAATTTGGATTAATTTCTGAAATGGGTGTTTAGTAGCAGATTAGATATAAAAATAGAAATAATTGAATGATGTTGTCATTGATATGTTGACTTACTGCTAGTGGTTTTTTTTTTCTTTTTTTTAAAGCATATTTTAATTGATAGGGTCATTTGTTGAATAAGTTTTGCTTCCTAATTAGTATTAGAATCTTTTATTTTTCTGTTTCGTTTATTTTGTTCTTTCTTTTTTTTTTTTTTTTTTTTTTTTGCAAAATGCTTTTCTTTTCTGCAGCTTCGCGTTGTGAAAGCATTTCGATTATCGTTGGACGAGTTCGAGGAGAAGCGTTCTATTGCCAGTACGCAATCCTGTAACTCGATGCGTGGTGTAGTTGGTGCTGGATGGTCCTATTTATCATTATCCAGAATTAATGCTCCACGTGCTGCTTCATGTGGTGGACCATTACCAAGTCAAACACGTGTTGCATTTGTAAAATTAATGCAACGTACTAATGCTCCACAATCATCATATCCATCCTATCATTCACAACAGTCCTCTACACCATCATCAAAGCGACCAACACCAATTAAGCTTGGTAATCCTACTGAATATAACATTCCGTTAACAACAGCATCAACAATGCCAACAGCGACAGAGAATGGTCATGAATTAGCTACAAATGCTATGATACTTAGTGAGCAACAACAACAGATGATTGCAACACAACCTATAGCATCTTTAGTTAGCAGTCAATTCGAGAAAGTACCATTGGTACAACGATGGCGACCATCTAGTGGTTCGAGGATTGGTAAAAGTAACTCACTGGATATTCCAGTTTCAATTGCTCATGTTTAAAGATTAATTTTTTTTTCTTCGAACTTTTTCCTTTATCTTCATAACTTCAAATTGCCCAATGTTGGAAAATTTTTATTTTATGCTAGACCTTCGCTAAAATTATTTATTTATTATTATTATGTTTTTAATGTTGTCACCAGTTGTTGCTTTATTCACTTTTTGTTTAATGTGTATGTCTCTAATCATTAAATATGCATATTTATTTGTAAATATATTTGGATATACAATATGAAAATATGTAGTATGTGGAAAGTGCTTCGGTCTCTTGAGGAATTGGGACAATTAATTGGTAAGCTAATTTACAAAGAAAATAATACGATATCGAAATGACTTTGATTATACAATAAAAACTGCTGATGCATAAAACGAGATATTAAACTAATCTTTTTCTTCTCTTTTTTTTTTTTGAGAAAGAGGATATTTTGGAAGAATTGAGGGTTTTTTTCATTGGAAATGGCTTTTACTAACTAACAATTTAACCAACAGCTCTTTTTTCTAAATATTTATTTTTAACATTAAAAAAAAAAAAAAAAAAAAGCATTTTTGAGCTAATCATTGGCGTACGAAGTGCACAGTTTTTTTTCTTTATGCTGCGCTTTTTTTTTTACTGCATGAAATTACGTTTTTTCAGCTTTTAAGTTTTGAATTTTGTTCTTTAGTAGCAATAAATTGACTCCATATGGTGTTCTGATTTAAGTCTTTTTTTTTTTTATATTTATCTTTTTAGTTCCCACTGAGGTCACTGATTCATTTAATTTATATTATAAAAGGAAAAAGTTCTCTTCTACTTGCCCATATATTTATTTATTTGGTCTTCTTTATGGTAGCTCATCCAACCTTTTAATGGAAAGGGAGTATTTTTTTGAATATATTTTTGACTTCTTTTATAAACATTATTTATTTATTTGTTTGTGTGTGAAATTTTGTAGTAGAGAACGGGAATCGAGGAGGTTTTTACATATTTTCATGGTGCTGTAATAGTATATTAAATGGCAAAATAATAGTTTAATTTTTAATTCTGGTTTTTTTCTCATGTTTCACTCCATTTCTGAGATCTCTTTATCCGTAGGAAGTGGTAGAATGTTTTTTTTTTATAATATATTTTTATTTGCTCAGATCTCCTTGTATTTCCCGTATGAGTCTGTTAGGATTTTTTTCTCTTTCTCTTTTTGTAAACATTTTTTCTTGCTTAAAATCTTCATTTTTTAGATTTTTCTTCACGTATTGTTATGCGACTAGGTAGTAATTTTTTTTCCTGTTAAATTATGCCATATCGTGAACTTTCTTTTCATCTTTTCGTTCTTTTTTTCTCGAGTAAGAATTGGTGCCAAAAAAATTTCTGCAGCTTAGTTGATCAGTATTTCAAGAAGTCAAGGTAAGTTAAGAATGGTTAGTATTCATATATAATTTGTATTAATTTTTTGTATCAAATTTTGTTTGAAATTTTTAAAGGATCATAGGTGAAATATGTTTGCCATTGATATTAAGTTTCATCTTAGGTTTCAAAATCAGTTTTTTTTGCTTGCTTTCTTTTTTGTAGTTGGTTGTATCATTATTATTTAAATCTTTCTCTAATTAGATTGTTTTTGTAAAATTATTTTGCGATATGGTTGTCACATTTTCTTTTTTCTGAAAATTGATGTAAATTCCATTTTAAATAGAAACAAGTCTTTAAAATTCAATTAGCTCCTCTCTTAGGAAATTTTTTTTAACTGAGATAGGCATTTTCATTTTAGGATGCTTTCCAGGATAAATAATTGTTTTCAGGTTGAATATAACGATTTAGGTATATATATATATATATATATATATATATATATATATATATATATATAATTTGCATAGTTTGAATTATGTAACAGCTATTTGTTTTTTAAAAATTTTAGCGGAATTGTTGAGTCATTTCAAGATCAAATCATATAAAAATGTTTTTCTTCTGGCCAGTTTTTGCAAACCTTTTACATGGCTTTAATAGTAAATTTTATTACTTAGATTTGAATTATTAGAATCATTACATTATTCAATACCGATCAAAATTTTGTATCGTTGTACGAAATCATCTATGTGAGCTTCAAGAACGAGTAATCTGGAATTCTTCTGCTCTTTAAATTCTTTTCAAATTATTAAATTGATTGTAGGGAAAAAAAGGATGTAGAGAGTAGCAGTACATATACCGGCCATCTCGAATATATCTTCTACCTTATTCTCTCAGCACTTATCTTGTGACAAATATAAGCAAAACATGATTTAGATTCAAGATATTACAATGATGAAAATATATGATATAAAATAGCAATTAAATATTGAATTATGTTATCTTAATGTTGCAATACATACATCTTTCTCAAATATTAGATATTATGGAACCTAATTTAGAAGCACGAAGATTTTCGGTTGAATAATCGGGTATATTCAAAAATCAGTCTACAAGATGATAATTAAAAATTTGATTCGCTTACTGTTTGATGAGTTAAAATAATAAATCACATACATCATTTATTATTTAAGTTGAAATATTTAAGTTCTCATCAATACTAAATCAATATTACAAATTATACTAAATTATTTCACTCTTCATTTCATTTCTTTTTTTTCTTACTATTATTGCGTACAGTATCATTTTTTTTTCAAATTTTCCAACTGTGAAAAAGTTTTCAAAAAAAAAAAAAAACGAAGACTTGAATATTTTTAGTTCGTAAATTCTAGCAATCTATTTTCATTTCAACAAATAATTTACTCCAAAGCTTTCAGGGGGAAGAACGACAAATTTTTGTGCATTATAATGTCCTAATCAATAATGCAATTTTAGTTGTGAATTTTATATAGTCATTTTAATTTGACAAAAAAGGTATGCTTAATATAGAAGAGTTCATTGATTGATACATTAAGCATTATTAGCTTTCTGGAATGCAAAATGTCAAAGATTGCTTGGTTTCGTCATTTTTATGAATCTATAAATAACAACTGGAGAAGGTATTAATGGAATGGAAAAGCCTTTTAGGGTGATCAAATAATAAATTTTTATTTTTATTCCTGAAAAATGTAATTTTTTCCTTTTTTTTTTTTGTGTATGCAACAATTTTCAGGAATTTTGATTGATATTCCACTAAACACTAGGTATCACTCAGTGATTGCAGGTTATTGGCGGGGAAATGGCCGATCGTTTAATACCGGTACCACTCAGTTCAGCGCCAACCGACCAGGCTGTAAGCGCAAAAGCACAGTATTTCATTTTCATGAATCCAACTCTGTGGGGTGGACTGTCCTTTTTCTCTTCCTCTGTCCTCTCTCTCTCCCTCTCACATACGCACACATACACATACATACATGCATACATACACACATATAACACACACAAGTGCATCTTTTATAATTAAAGTTTTCGAATTTGAAAAGAAAAAAAAATTTTATATCAGTATATGCCCCTTCTCCACTCTACCATAAAACGAATAATTAATGCTACCGCTTCCGACAAGAATTTAAAATTCTGCCTTTGAGTTTTTGAAAAAAAATCAAAATTCCGATTTTAAATTTTTTAAAAAAAAGGAGTTAAACAATTCAATTTTTATGTTTATTGTCAAAATGCACGGTTTGTGGTGTATATATTGCGCCGTGCTGTCGCTGGTTGCTGCTTGCATTGTGTGGTGCCATTATTTAGTAAGATTATTATTATCATTATTGTTATTATTATCACTATTATTATTATTGTCATTATTATTATTACTGTTATTATATCACTTCTATTAATTATGAATCTTATATACAATCACAATTATAACTGATACATTTAAACTAACGCGCACCAAATTTGTGTTGTTTCTTTCATCATTATTGATTTTGTTGGCACTTGAATTAACATTAATTAGCTTCCTTAATTTTTTTTGTAATCGCTTCTTGAATTTTTTTCTTCTCCTCCTTTTCTGATTATTGGTTTTCTTAACATTTTTTTTTTTTTTTTAATGAAGAAATTTCAGTTTTTTTCTTCCCAATTCTAATGAGCACCACGGCACTGTCCTTTTTTTTTTTAAACAAAAAAATAGAGCAGATTATCATTGATAGGTTAATTTAGTTAGCTAAGTTTTTCGCATGCATAAAATGCATATATGTATCTGAGCATAATACACATGCATATTTATTCATTTCAAGTATTTTTATTTAAAAATTTACACTCTTAATTTGATATTAGTGTAAATTTTAGTTTATAATTAGTTATTATTAGCGCGTTTATTGCCTATAATTTTTTCTGGATAATGCGAATAGGAACCCAATAAGTAATATTTGACAAAACTATTTGTTAATCGAAGAAAAATATTTGAATGAAAAAAAAGGATGATTTAAAATTTTAATCTTATAATTTTACTCAAATTCAAGCATTTACACAGTGTGAATTTTATTTTAATTAAATATTTATTTATTTTTTTTTTGTTAAAAATTTTAAGTGGAATTTTTATTTCATAATTGGTGCCTTAAATATATTGTATTTTTCAAAATATAAGCGCTAATTTGTCTCTTTCATTGCATTGTCATTGTTTATTTCTATTTCTTCAATTTTTTATTATACTTCACTTTCAAATATCAAAATATATTTTATTAGTAATTTTTGGACTATTTTTCCTTTTCACTATCCTTTTTTTTCCACTTCTGTTTTGTTTTTTATTTTTAGTCGTTATTCTTCTCGGTTTTATAAATCTATACTTTTTCAATTTTTCTGACCATATGCTTTATTCTTTTAACCCTTTCCTTTTTTTTTAAATCAGCCAAATTTATTGATTGTGTTTTTTTTTTATGGCAATTTTGGGAGCATTTTTTTCTTTTTTATTTTTGTTGCAGTGTTTAAAAATGTCATATAGTTGTTATTGTTGTTGTTACTGTCGTTATATTTTTCCTTATTTTTTATCTTTCCATTTTTGTTGTTATTACTACTACTACTACTACTACTACTACTACTACTACTACTACTACTACTACTATTACTACTACCACTACTACTACTACTACTA